CTCTTGGGGGACGCCGAAGCGGGTGAGAATGTTCTTGTGGACGAACTTCTGGCACCTAGCCCCCGTGATGCTGGCTAGAGGTTCCGCCTCGACCCACTTGGAAAAGTAGTCGACTGCGACGATGTTGTAGCGGTTATTCCCGGCGGCTCTGGGTAGGGGGCCGACCAGGTCAATTCCCCATCTGGAGAATGGGATTGCAGTGTTGACCGGGGCATAATTGACGGCTGGCCGACCAGGGGCCTTCTGAAGTACCTGACATGCGGTACATCTCCTTGTGAGGTCCGCACAATCCCGCGCCATTGTCAGCCAAAAATAGCCCTGGACGACGAGACGCCGGGACATGCTGAAAGGGCCCTGGTGCGAAGAGCAGACACCGCAGTGGACCTCCTCCATGGCCACTTCGGCCTCGTCCTGGTGCAGGCATCAGAGGAGAGTGTCGTTGTAGGATCACTTGTAGAGCTTGCCATCTTCAATAGTGTAGCTTGGAGCCCTGAGCTTGGCAAGCTTGGCCCTCTCCTCGTCCTGGGGTAGCTCCCCCGTGGTGATGAAGGTGGTGATGTCGGAGATCCAGTCTTCCGGCCGCTGTTGGATGCACAAGATGGGGCTGGCATGGATGTTGGACATGATCAACTCCTCGATCTTGGCTAACTTGGAGATGTGCTCTGAGTATCCGAACTGAGCTTGGAGAGGATGTCGGCCTCGGCGTTCTCGGCCCTTGGGATCTGTGTGATCTCGTGGGTCTCGAACGCTTTCAGCAACTCCTATGCCGCCTGTGTGTACTGCTTCATCCGGCCTTCCTTTGCTTCGTAGGTACCCTCAACCTGGCCTACCACCAACTTGGAGTCGCACCTGATTCTGATGTGCTTGGCTTTGAGGCCGGCGGCGAATCTGAGGCCACTGAGGAGGGCCTCATACTCAGCTTCGTTGTTGGACACCCTGAAGTTGAAGCGGATGGCATAGTAAGCTCTGAATCCTTCAGGGAAGACGAGGACGATGCCGCCTCCGCATGATTTCGCGGCCGATCAGCCGTCGGTGAACAAGATCTATGTGTCATCTGGCTCTGGCCCGGGGGTAGTAGCGGTCGTCTCCCTCGCTGTGCTTTCGGTGACAGTCAGCCAAGGCTTGCCCTTTGATAGATGGCCTTGGCTTGATCTCAATTTGGAATTGGCTGAGCAAAATCGCCCATTTCACCATCCTTGAGGAGCTAGTGGGGCTCCTCATGAGCGTGCCAAGGGGCTGCTGGGTCAGTACGTGGACGGCGTGGGCCTGGAAGTAGTGCCCCAGCTTTTTCACTGTATGGACGATGGCTAGCATCGTCTTCTCAATGGGGGAGTACTTGAGCTCGGCTTCCCTGAGTGTTTTGCTGATGTAGAATATGGCCTTCTGCACCCCTTTGTCCTCGCGGATGAGCACGGAGCTAATGGCCGACGTGCTCACCCCCAAGTATAAGAAGAGGGTTTCGCCGGCTTTGGGCTTGGAGAGCACCGACGGGGATGAAAGGTACCTCTTTAGTTCTTCAAATGCTTCCTGGCACTCCGTCGTCCACTTGAAGCTGTTTGCTTTGCCCATGATCTGGAAGAAAGGAAGTGACCTCTCGGCTGACTTGGAGAGAAAACGGCTCAGGGCCGCCAGGCGCCCCGTTGGCCGTTGTACCTCCTTGACGTTGCGGGGCGGCTCCATGTTGATGATGGCATGTATCTTCTCCGGATTTATTTCAATGCCTCTCCAGCTGACCATGTAGGCGAGGAACTTGCCGCCTTGCATGCCAAAGGCGCACTTCTTGGGGTTGAGGCGGAGTTTGAACTCCTTCATGATTTCAAAAATTTCCCGGAGGTCGTTAGCATGTGTGGTGGCCCGCTTGCTTTTGACGATCATGTCATCGACGTATGCCTCCATCGTCCGGCCGAGGACCGTCCTGAAGATCTTAGCCACCATTATGGTGTAGGTGGCGCCTGAGTTTTTGAGTCCGAAAGCCATGACGAGGTAGCAGAAAATTCCCTCCAGGGTCATAAAGGTCGTCTTCTCGGCGTCATCTTCATGCATGAAAATCTGGTGGTACCCTCTGAAGGCGTCAAGGAACGACATCAACTCGCATCCCGCCGTCTCGTCCACCAATTGATCAATGTTGGGGAGAGGGAACGGGTCCATGGGGCACGCCTTGTTCAGGTCACTGTAATCAACACACATTCTAAATGTCGGCAGTTTTTGGGCGAGGACGACGTTGGCTAGCCACGTCAGGTACTTCACCTCCTTGATGTGGTTGATTGAGAGGAACATGGTGACCTCCCCCTTGACGAAGTCCCGTCTGTCGGTGGACAAGTAGCGTCGCTTCTGCTTGACAGGCGCGGAGGCCGGATCGACGGTCAGCCGATGGGTGATTACCTTCCGGCCGATGCCTGGAATGTCGTCCGGGCCCCACGCGAAGATGATGGCGTATGACCGTACGACGAGGAGGATGGCGTCTCGCTGGTCCTGCGGGAGTTGCTTCCCAATTTTGAGGACCTGCTCCGTCCGGGAGGTATCCAGGGGGATCTCCTTGACCTCTTCGGCTGGTTCGGCATGCGGCCTCTCCTCGTCCTTGGCAACGGTCGTCGTGATGGTGTCTATTCTTTGTCCTTCTCTTTAGGCCGGCTTCGTTAGCTTGAGGTAGCATGCCCTGGCTATCCTCTGGTTTCCTCTAGTGTAGCCGATGCCGCCACTGGTGGGGAACTTCAAGCATAAGTGCTTCATGGAGATGATGGCCTCCAGGTCCTCCAGTGCTGGCCGCCCCCAAATCAGGTTGTGGGCGCACTGAAGGTTGACCACCATGAACTCCATGTTAATTTTGGCGCGGTGGAAGCCATCGCCGACCTCCACAGGGAGGACTATCGTGCCTTCGACGTCGATAGAGTCCCCGGTGAAGCCGGACAACGGTGTCTTGATCGGCTTCAGCAGAGCTTTGTCCAGCTTCAGTTGCCTGAAGGTGTCTAGGTACATCACATTGACGGAACTCCCCGTATCGATGTAAGTGCGGTGTATGATGGAATTACCGATCTCAAACCGGATGACGAGGGCGTCCCTGTGTGACTCCGTACCTGGAGGCAGATCCTTATCGGTGAAGGTGATCGCCTCCGTTCGTTGCTTCTTCGGCTGGGGGGAAAGTGGGACACCTCCCCAATGTAAAGGGATTGGGCCCATTTATTCCTCTGGCTGACGGAGTCCCCCCCCCCCCCCCCCCCCCCCGGTGTTTCCACCTACGATGAGGTGAATGTGGTTCTTCTTCGGTGGAGGCTCCTCAAAGTCTTCGTCGTCGCTGAGCCTACCGATCTCCCGCTTCTTCGTAGAGGGTTCGCCCCCAGACTTGCTGGTGTTTACCCACGTTTAACAAATTGGGAGAGTTCCCGCTGACGAATCAGGCGCTCGATGGCTTTCTTCAGTGTGATGCAGTCGTCGGTGTTGTGGGAGGCGTTTTTGTGGAACCAGCAGTAGGTACCGCCTTGCTGGATGGCATGGACTTCCTCCATCGGCCGAGGAGCTTGTTCAATGAGGTCATGCTTCTCGGCGTAGTCGAGGATGGTGCTGACCGGGTGTTGAGCTGGTTGTGCAGATGCGTCGTGAGGTTGATGGCCTCCTGGAAGACATCCCCTCCTCCGACCTTGTCGGCCTGGCATCCTCCTCACGTTCCCTGTTCTCCTGGTCCTCAGGGATGGTTTTGCTGACGAGGTTGCGGTTTGACTTGGTTCTTCCCATGATCAGTGGTTAGTTGTGCTTGGTAGCGACGAAGGATGCTAACTTGATTGTTCTAGCTCTCAATGAAAGCACCAAATGATAGAGTATATTCTAGAGAGAAGTGAGAGCTAGAGAGAGATGTGCAAGTAAATGCTTCAATAAATGATTATTTCAACCCCTACAACTACTCCCAAAGGGAGTATTTATAGGTAAAATATGGGCTGGGCTCCCAAGCCTTGGGCTTGTGAGGCCATTTACAACTGGACCGCTATCGGGCCGAATACAATGTGTGTACAAATGATTAAGTGTAAAATCTAGCTCTGTGAGGCTTCTGTGGCTGACGAGGGTCTGGCCGATGAGGGCATGGCCGACGGGGGCACCCAAGTTCCCTGACTTCAGGATCATATTCTGTTGTACTTTCTGTTCTTCTGAGTATGTGGGTCCTGGGGCCTAGACCCATATACTCCATCATATATATATATATATATATATATATATATATATATATATATATATATATATATATATATATATATATATATAGGGTAAGGATCAAATGAGAATATCATCTTATGAGAGAAATTAGAATGATTTTGGAGCGTTGGATTTGAGCATTGTGCATCATGTAATACAGAAACGTGCATATAAAAAAATGGAAAATGTGCATTTCGTCTGTGCAAAATTTTAAACGTAAATGTGCAGATTAGAAATTTGCATTACTTTAATTATAAATGTGGAGTTTTGTGAATGATAAAGTGCATCGTTTTGGAGCGTTCTCATTTCTCACGTTAAGGAGTGTTCTCACCGGAACCGCACCATATATATATATATATATATATATATATATATATATATATATATATATATAGGGTTGAGATCACATACAAACCATGCTTAACTTACTAACCTACAAACTCAATAATATGCAACACTTTGAACTTCAATATGCAGTACAAATAATGTAAAGATGCACTCTTTGAATTTCAATGTGCAATACAAATAATGTAAAGATGATTTGAATGTGAGGACTACTTTGTATGTGATTTCACCCCTGCATGTTTACATTATTTTTACTGCATATTGAAGTTTAAAGTGATGCATATTATTGAGTTTGTAGGTTAGTATTTTAAGCATGGTTTGTATTTGATATCTTATCTATATATATATATATATATATATATATATATATATATATATATATATATATATATATATATATATATATATATATATATATATATATATATATATATATATATATATATATATATATATATATATATATATATATATATCGAGATGTATATATATAAATGGGTTTCTATGCAAATACATTATTCTTATTTAAAATATACTCCCTCCGTTTCTGAAACAAGTTCCACATTTGACTTCACACATATTAAGAAAATAAATTCGACTTTACTGTGGAGTGCACTGTTTGGCATTGTTTGACACTGTTTGAACACTGTTTGACATTGTTTTAATATAGATAATTTGCCAAATAAATAAATGTTTGAAAGTGGAACTTAATTTTGAATCTGCCCGAAAAGTAAAGGTGGAACTTGTTTCAGAAACGGAGAAAGTATTATCGTAATAGAAGTTGTGAAGAACACAAATGTTTTGTTTAATGCTAGTCTGTGCTGGGAACAGACTTATGGCACTTATTATTAGTATAAAGTAGTAGTAATAATTATTGCATTCATTCAGGCGCAAAAGTGATCCAAAACTTTTGTTTCGCAAGAAGCTGCTGCGGGACAGCCCGTGCAATCAGCGTCAGTTTTACAGAATCCGCAGCCACCCTTTGGCTTAGGCTTCGGCTTCGGCTCCGGCTCCGGCTTCTTTTTCTTCAGCTCCGTATCTGATTACAGCACAGATAATAAGATAAGATAATTGAGAATATGCATGTTTTGTTTGTCACATTTATTTCAATTTCAATCTCATCCAACAAAATCAAACATGAACATATTTAACAAAAACACTAATTATTGACATACTTAAATCTAGAGAACTCATCTGATCAGGCACGTCTGACTAAATCCCTTGTATGGTCAAGCCCGTTTAAGCTCGTATGGTCAAGCACGTTTAAGCTCGTTTAAGTCAAATTTTTGGGTGAAGTTATGTGAGCTTTTCTTCATTAAATGTAGATTATGTCTACACTATTTCAGTTTAAAATTCAATCGAAAATCAATTAAATAAATTTGTGAAAACCGATGCGCTTTATGTATATACTTCATGAAAAACATGCTCACAAAATTTTATCAAAAATTTCGACCCGAAAGAACCTCAAATGGGCTAGATCGTGGGGATCTGATCAGGCGCACCTGGTCAGATAATAAGTTATCCTTAAATCTAGTTTCAACAAACTCAAAGGCAAAACATGCATATTTACAAAATAAAAGTTTTACAAATTAACTCAAATAAATAAAATGTAAAGAGCCTCTTTGATAACTCCTACTCCGTATATGCATTCATCAAACATGTCACTTTAGATTTTACGCGCTGCATTCTGTAAACATGTTACTTTATATTCAAAATAAAGTTAAGTTAGAGTTACTCTTCTAATTGAATTGATTGAAGTCATTGGAAATGACCATTGTAGTTATATATTTTCATATTGGTTTTCTTTTCTTTTTTTTTGTAAAATGTTATTTAAATACGACATACTCCCTCTGTTCTTTAAAACTTTGTCAACTTTTCTTTTTTGGTTGTCCCACTAACTTTGTCACTTTCTAATTTAAGTAAGGAAATTATTGTTTCAATTAATTCTCTCTCTTCTGCACAAACCTTTTTTACATAATTTTTACTTTATTAATCATCGTGCCGATCAAACTTGACAAAGTTTTAAAGAATGAAGGTAGTATATCTTTAATCATTCAGTGAAATCATTCGTCCCAGCTGTCATATCTTCACCAACTAGACGAAATACCCGTGTGATGCACAGGGTGTATCTAGAATTGAATAACAATTTATTTAAAATTACATTTTAGTATAATGATATGTAATGTGTATTTATGTCAAATAAAAAGAAAATAGTGTTTATATGTTGTAGCTTTGGTTATATATTAATAATTGTAAGAAAATTAAATTTGGTTCATATGAAAATTGCAAGTAAAAAGTAAAATAAATGATAAGGTGTAATTTTAAATTCTATGTGATAATAATAGAATTAAGGATGTTTCTACTTGGACTTGAAATTTTCCGAACTGATTTACTCTTGTTTATTTAAGTCTGGTCTGATCTGAAGTGATCTGGTTTGGTTTGGTCTAGAAGAAGTCTAGTCAAATTTGAATTAAATAGCTATTTAATTACAAATATATTTTCAATTAAACTTGACAAATTTGTTTAAATTATACATGGTATAAAATTACCCAAACTGTAATTATGAAGGTAAATTTTGAAGTATAATTGAAATTACCTTTGATCTAGTAAAACGTGAACGGTGCATGAGAGATGGCCAATTAAAAAAATTGACGTCTCTCTCCTTATTTGAACGATCTTATCTGTTTTTGATAAGTTTTTCTTCACAATGTCAAACACAATTTTTAGATGTAGAGATTGTGGTTAACATTCTTGAGAAAAATTTACCAGACATATATACATAAGACCGTGAAAAGATGGAGAGAAAAATATCATAAATTTAATATTTTATGTGTATCTTTCTAATGTCACATGTGCACAATGCACATTATAGCATTAGATATACTCTTACTTTTACTCTTTTAAAGTCCTTTACTTTATGAAATAGGGAAAAATGATGAAGTCAAACTTCATGTATTACATTTCCTTAATTCTTGTGTCAGTCAACATTTAAAAATTAAATTAGAACGGAAGGAGTATTGAATTAGAGATTTTATCTCTTATAACTTAATACTTTGTGAGGGAAATTTAGAGTCAAAATTGATAGTCACTTTATTACATTACAAAGATTTTTTTACAGAGTAATATATAAAGATATAAATATGTCTGGTCTTATCATTATAATAGATAATTGATCTAAAATCTTACTTCAGGCACGAACGTTGTACGTGGGAAAAAATATCACAACTTTAATATTTATACTGTTACCTATAATAAAAAAATAAAAAACTAATGAGAGGAAAGATTTTGTACCAAATTAATACTTTTATTATTATTACAACTATTATTAATTATTGATAAATGAGATAATGAATATGCATTACTATATCATATATTCATATGGGGTGCGATTGAAAACACGAAAGCACTCATGTGTACATAAGTTTACACACGTGTTACCCTCTTTATTTGGTAAGTTTATTCAATTAATCACACATGCATGTAATTTAGGCACACATAACATAACGAGTGCCTATATGGTGCATCCGGGTATATGTACACTCGGCCCAACTAAGGAAAGACAACCCAATAATTGATACAGGCCAAAAAAACATCGGTGACATTTTTGTAATTTAAGTGAAAAAAATTACGGCTTCTACTAAATGAGCAATAATGTATTTTTAGTGAGCATATGACCTATTTTATTGAGTATTAGGAGGCTAACAATGAGTATCACGATCTATACTTCATATCTTCTAATTCTTTTTCCTTTTCTTATTTTTTCTTTTATAAAAACTTATTAAATTATATCTATAATTCACTCCTATTAATTTCAATATGTGAGTCTAATGATACTTTCGAAATATGCATTAATATGACATTTTAAAAATGAACATAACAGCGGTACAAATGAGTATACATAACTTACAAAATGCACATTGATATGAAAAGGGTAAGGTTTGTTAGTAGAACATCACGACATTTTAATTGAGCATTAAACTTCTTCTGTTGAGATGAAAATCACGATTTCTGGTGAATGAGCACTAATGAACTTTTAATGAGCATCAGACCTATTATGTTGAGTATTAGGAGTCTAATATTCAGAATCGTGATCTCTGCTTCATAACTTTTAATTCACTTTCTTTTTGTTCTTTTTTCTTTTATAAAAACTTATTCAATACGTGAATCTAATGTAAAATAGTATTTTAAAAAATGCATTGATATGACACTTAGAAAATGAGCATAGGATCAGTACCCGATGAACATACATAACTTACAAAATGTTCATTGATATGAAAATCGTAATGTTTGTTAGTTTGACATAATGACATTTCATTGAGCATCAAACCTCCTATACTGAGATGAAAATCACAGTTTCTGTTAAATGAGCATTAATGAACTTTTAATGTGCACCAGACCTATTATGAGCATTAAAACACTTTCAATTAGCATCAAACTTATTCGGTTGAGTACTAGGAACATAACAATGTGAATCTAATGTCATATGCAACTTTTAAAATTTGCATGAATATGACATTTTAAAAATGAGCATAATATGAGTACAAATTGAACAAACGTAACTTACAAAACGACTATTGATATGAAACTCATAATTTTTTTAGTTGAACTTCAAGACATTTTTATTGAGCATCAAATCTTCTCTATTGAGTATCGAAAACATCCAACTGAGTATCATGGTTTGTGCTCCTATATCTATAATCAACTCCAACATGAATCTAAAAAATAAATTGAAACATTTAATAATATTTTATATTACACATTTTCTTTTTCATAATAATTGAATATAACATTAAAGTAGAAGGTTGCTAAAAAGGGAGAACAAAAAAAGGAGAATAAACAAAGAAAAGAAAAGAAAGGAGAACAATCACCTGCGAGTGGAGGAAATTAAAACAGAAAGAAGCGGAAAGCGTAGGTTGGAGAGCGATCATGAAGAGTGGAGCATCGGCAGAAATTAAAAGGAAGAGTGAAGCATTAGCCTATTAATTACCCTTAAATTTGCTACTAATTTCAAAAAAAAACGGATGTACCTGTACACTCGGGTGTACGATATAATTTGCGCACACATAACTATCTACATAAGAGCAATATATAAATGATCTATTATGATTAATTTTTCAATGCACATGCCAGATTATTTGGGCGGTTATATATTTTCAAGACATTCATATAACATTTTTACCCCTCTTCAGGGAGGCAATTGCCTCCAAAACTTGTAGCTACTTTACTACTTTATACGTAGTACTTCCCCGTTCCTATTAAAACTTCCAAATAGGTTTGACACACATATTAAGATAGTAAGTATTGTGTGGTGGAGAGTTGTGAAGAGGAGAAAGAAAAAGGAAAGTGAAAGTTTTAATTGGAATAGATGAAAAAAGAAAGTTGAAAGTTTATTTAGGAACAGAGGGAGTACAATATAAAGATTGAGTAGATTCTTACCATCGTGCCTCCAAAGTTTCTAAAAAAATAAACTATTGATCTGATAAAAATAAAAGTTACGTAAAAGCTGGATTCAAAACTAAATTTACAGCAACAGTTGTATAAACTCCTCCATCCCGAAAAAGTTCGCCAAATTGACTTTTCTTGGTCTATGACAATCGACTTTGAATGATGATATTTTTTAATATGTAATTAATTTGAATATGAAAATTTTATCAAAATGTTCTTTATTCAAAATATTTTCATAAAAGTATAAAATTTACAAATTATATACAAATAGAATAATTAAAATCATTGTCAAAAGTTCATCATGATTGACCAAGAAAAGTTAATATGACAAACCTTTTCGAAGGAGTAGTACACAGTATCATCGGGTACCATTTATGCATTTAAGTCCGGTATCATCTACACAAAATTGGAAGTTGGGACAGGTAAAGAGGGAGTAATTAGGTAGGTACCAAATCCGACACAATGACCCGTTTCAGATCCAGCAACGTCCTTCATACACAAGTGGCGCCCATTAGCAGCGTTGGATCTGCAGTCGTCGTGAGAGCTGCAGAGCTGCCCCGTCACAATCGATTGCTCCTTGTTTGGTCCTCCGCTTATTTGCGCCTCTATCAAACTTCTGCCCACCACTGCCACATATTGATTCAAACAAACAAAGCTTATGTAATAAGTAGCTTATATAAGTAGCTCGCTCATATTGATTCTTAATCATATCCATCCCTAAGCTTAGCTTCCAAAATTAAGAGTTTTGGTAACATTCAAAATTAGGAAGGTCCCGCTGAATCATCGGGATTATGCTGATTTATGAAAAAATTATATTTCAAATATATTTTATTAATAAATTAAGTGAGAATTATCAAATAAGCCCTCGAACTTACATAAAAAGTGCAAATAAACTCTTTTATAGGAGGTCCTGTCCGGCCGTCGCCATTTGGGGCGGTTTCCGGTGACATTTTTTGATGAAATTTTTTGAGCATCTTCGGCATTAAGTCTCGTTTACTCATAACAGTATTAAGTTTCAGCTATAAAAATTCAACCGAGAACGCAGTTAAATGATTTTCTGAAATATACTGCGCTATTTAACTGCGCAGTTATCTTCAAAAATTCATTTGAGTGCATTCCCCATTGCATATTTAGTTGAAATTTGATATGAGTAAACTAGACTAAATGAATAAGATTCTCAAAAAAAAATCATCAAAAAATTCCACCGGGAACCACCCCAAATGACGACGGCCGGACAGAGCCGCCTATAAAAGGGCTTATTTGCACTTTTTATGTAAGTTCGAAGACTTATTTGATAGTTCTCTCCTAAGTTAATGAAAAAATCATACTAATATAAAAAAATAGCTAAAAAGATCTTCTACAGTAACTTCAGCTTGCTGTTAAAAAAATAGTTTCAATTTTACTTAATTTGATTATTACACAATTCAGCGTGCGAAATTTAAAGTTACGTGTTTGACAAAAATGCTGTCCGATAAGCGGAGAAAACGGGAACAACGAGATACGTCCGATTAGAAGAGACTACGTGAAGGAAGAGATGGAGAGAAAGAACTTACAAGATGCGAGAAGGAAAAACGCTAGCTGCATTGAAACTCTCTTCATTTATGTTGTTTTGCCCAACTGCTCGGAGATGAGTAATAACATGGGCAGAAGCTAATTATTTATAGGCGCGCGGACTAGTCGACCTGGATGGATAGAGCATATTTATGAATTCATTTCGTCTTACACATTTTTATTTTATGTGCATTTTAATTGGGACGGATAAGCATGTCGAAGAATGACAATTTTTTTTTGAAAGCAATGAAATTTAACGGACAAATCCGTGAACCAGACTTAAAATTTATCATCTTAATGAAAGCAATGAAATTCAACCTGCTCTTAAGAGTTCTCAACGAAACAAAGGATAAACCCAACCTAACATAGTCTGCCACAAAAAAACAACAACTAAATAATACTCCCTCCGTCACGGAATTATCTTCATACTTTCCTTTTCGGTCTGTCCCAAATTTAACTTCTCTTTCCCTTTTTAGCAAAGATTTTGTGGTTCACAACCATTCTTACACATTTCTCTTTCCTCTGCACAACTCTCCACCACACATTTCCCACTATCTTAATATGTGTGTCAATTGTACTTGTGAAGATAAATATGAGACGGAGAGAGTAGTAAACAAAATACCTAAAAAAAACCTAAAACCAACAATTAAAAGACAGTACTCCCTCCGTCCCTGTTTTATCTCCCATTTCGGCTGGGCACACTTATTAAGATAGTGGTTTTTGTGTGGTGGAGAGTTGTGCAGAGGAAAGAGAAATGTGTAAGAATGTGTAAGAATGATTGTGAACCACAAAATCTTTGCCAAAAAAGGAAGGAGGAGATAATTTTGGGACGGACGAAAAAGGAAAGTTTGAAGATAATTCAGGGATAGAGGGAGTATATTTAGAGGAAATTCCCTAAATAGAAGGAAAAAAGTTCTGAAATTTCAAAGTAGGACTGTCATGTTTTTATTCCCAAATTAGAAGTAATTTCTACCAAGTTTAATATTATCAGGCTTTAAACATGACAATTTCTGTCAAGTTTTTTCCAAACTTGGCAGAAATTACTCTATTTAGGGAATAAAAACATGAATAACTTATTTTAGAATTTGAAAACATTTTTATTCATATTCAGGGCAATTTCTAATATATTTACTATACGAACAGTGGGTGATAATAATATTATGAAAATGATTAAAGTTTAAAATACAATGACATTTACTTATAATGCAAGTTCATATGGAATTTCACGAATAATTTAAACAAAGTGGATGATGTGGTTCCTTTTTTTTCATTTGTACCATTAATAAAATATAAATTTGAAAGAAGGAGTTTAGCAATGTTTGGATCAGAATACATATACAATATAAATTTGAAATTCACAAGACATAATAAACAAAAATACACACGACGTGAGTTTGTAAGCAACATTAAAGTTTTGGAGAAGACGACAGTCAATATTTAAATAAACTCTAACTTAAATAGTGTTTAAATTAAAATTGTCGCTGCACTTAAAAGTAGTTATTTTTGCACGTAAAGACCGACTGCCCCTTTTTATTCGAGATCTCTTCGATGCATTCAACCATATTTTAGGTATAAAAATTATGTGATTATATTACGTAGTATGGTTTATGATAACCGTTTACGCGGCGTTGTAGTAAAATGGAGTCTAACCTTTCGGTTTTTCCCCGAGTGTCTTGTCTCTTGAGGAATGGCGTAAGAGTTTCTTGATTTTAAATCCAGTCACAGGTTATCACAAATTATTGGAAGCTTTCCAAATTAAAACTTTTGATTGATTTTCTAAACTAACTTTTGAAAAAGAAAGTAAATTAAATTATGCAAAATACTAATAATGGCTCAAAATAAACTAAATGAAAAATATAATATTAAACTCTAAATGGATTGATCAAAGAAGGGCAATGAAATGAATAATTAGAAATGGATATATTCTTGGACCTAGTAATTAGGGGAATTAAAACAACAATTGGACTAATAATTTCTTTTCTCATAGACAAGAATAGAAATTACTTTCATTATTTTATCCTATTTCTAGGTTTCATCAATGTATTCAAAAATGGTTGGCTTGAATTAAATTCTAATCTCATAGACAAGACAGAAATAATTCTCCAATATTTTGTTCAATAAAAATAGCCAAATTCATTAACTAATTAAACTCATTAATTAAGCAATTTGAATTTAATTCTCATAGACAAGATGTAAATCCATTTCATTAAAATTTCCTATTTCTAGGCCTTATTAACGTGCTTAAATATGGTTGGCTCAATTTATTTTCTAATCCCATAGACAAGTTAGAAATAATTTTCCAAAAGTTAATTAATGAAAATGGCTAACAATTATTAATTACTAATCCATCAATTTGAATAACTAGCCCAATTAATTAATTTTAACCCCTAATTTTCGGCTAACAAGTCAATCCATATTCTTTTACTCAATTCATGTCCAAAACAATTTTAACTACTAAACATTATTTTTGCATTCAACAATATGGTAAATAAATTAACCATTAAAAAGGAATTAAACATGTATAATAGCAACAATTAATCAAAATAAAAATCTTGTCAAAATAAACTTTCTGGAACTACAATATGACTTTTTGGAAATTTTCACGAATTTTTAAACCTAAAATCCAATTTTAACCCTAATTGAAAATTTTCCCACTTTTAACTATAAAATACAAAAGACAATTAAAAAAAGGCTAAATTCGTTCTAAATTTTCTATTGACTACTGGCGGTGATATTACAATGAAATAAACTGGAATTAGGGCCAAACCTATTTTTTTACTCTTTTTAAGTAATAAATTTAATTTATGCAATAATAACAACTAATTACTGAAATTAATTAAAAATTACTTCTGCTTCAGAAAAATTAACTTTCTTCAGATAAATAACAACCTTGAGGCTAGTAAACAACTATATAATTAATTGGAATGAATTCAACATCAACAACTATTTTATTTAATTTTTGGAAGAAAATGCGAAATACTTGATAAATATTTTGGAAAAACTCAAAGAACAGATCGAGAAAAAAAAGCACAGATTCAGACTCTACTCGTTGAGAAGACGAAAATACATATAAAGAACTTACAAATTGGAGCTAAAATGAAAAAGATATGAAAGATTGAAGTTGAAGATGCAACAATGGTGGAAATCCGAGCTTTGAAGAGGAAGAAGAAGACCTTTTTGAATTAGTTTCGGGGTAAGAATGGTGTGTTTGGGATGAGAAAAAATCGGGCTATTTATAGCGGCAAAAATATCGTAGGCGGCCAACCAGGCGGCCGCCTGCCACCTTGCTCCGGCCGCCTTCCGTCCCATCACCGGCAGTCGAACGTGCCGCACGTGACTTCGCCGCAGGCGGCCACGGAAGGCGGCCGCCTGCCGTTTCTGTCTGGCCGCCTGCTGTCTTTTCGCATCGACGGTCGTTGGCTTTGTCGTCTTTTCCCGTAGACGGCCGCGAAGGCCTCCATTTTTGGCCGCCTATTTGGCCGCCTTCGGTCGAAGCCTTCGGTCTTCTTCCCGCTTCGAGTCAAAGCCTAATTTTTGATTTTTCCGTAGGCGGCCGCGAAGGCCTCCATTTTTGGCCGCCTGTTTGGCCGCCTATGAGGTTGTTTGACCGTCTTGTTCTGCATTTTGTGCTCTTCAACTTTCTTTTCTGGATCACTTTGAAATTCTGCTTCATTCTTTCGGTATGATATCATTTTTCACTCAAATTTACTCATTGTGTGCTTAATTGACCCGAAATTTCGTCAAAGATATCATGGACGTGGTTTTTACATGATTTCACGAAACTTGAACCAAAATATATAAAACATGCCTTGTTTTTCTATTTTTCAATCCAAAATCGCTTAACTTTGATAAGAAAAATAAGTACAAAAATGGACTTATCAGTTTATATGCTATCTCCCGTTATAAATGAAGACTTAATTTTCTCGTAGTGCCAATTGTTGCAATAATTGGTAATTACTTATAGGGTTGATAATATGATGAAGGGGTAATTTGAGTTTGCACCACATTTTATTGTCTGAATTGGATTTTGCATTCCGTTTTTAAAAATCTTTATTTTTGCACCCCAACCTCATATGAGAAGACAAAAATGCCCTCGATCAAGAATATGTTGAAGACCAACTAAATTGTTAATAGAGAGGCAATTTTGTCTCTTCATATGGAATTGGGGTGCAAAAACAAAATTTTTTAAAAACGGAATGCAAAGTCGAATTTGCACAATAAAATGAGGTGCAAACTCAAGTTACCTATGATTAAGTATGAAATGAAGTAGTGACGAAGACTCACATTTAGATGAAAAGAAGTCGTGATGAAAGAAAGTAGCTAGGTTGATTTTTCTACATTTTTTATAACGCTATAATTATTACGTTAGTAATATTTCTACTACGCATTATTGTTGTTATATTCGGTGTATCCATGCATACGTATTATTGGGGTCTGTTCAATAATCGTATATTCCATTATTGGCCTTGCCCCATCTCCCTTGGGATTATAAATAGAAACAATGGCATGGTTATTACCTCTAGAAAGACAAATATATGACTTTTTTAGAATTGGACAAAAAGTGTTTAAACTTTAAAGAGAAAATTACCTCAATAGGAGTAAAACGATGCATTTGTGCATAAATAGGAGTCCAAGTTTCATCTCTCGCGCATAGGAGTAAAAAGTGTATGAGTGGACAACAGTACCCTTAATGAAAATGAAAAATCTAATTGTTTTATTAATTAATAATACAACACAAAATAAAACCATACAGAGACAACAAAAGACTCGGAAGATGCAATGGTACGACCCTAGGCTGTGACTGCCACCTTCGCCGGCTCCGGCTCCGGCGGCGCCACCAGCCGCAGTCGCATCTGACGTCGCCGCCGTCGCCGCAACTGACATTCCCACCACCACATCTAACAACGCCGCCAACAGCCGCTCGCCGCCTCCTTTGCCTCTGCCGGCAACAGCCACCTGTGTTGTCTCTGCCGCCTCTTCTAGCGGGTGGATCTCCGGCGTCGACGCGCCTCTGTCGTTTCTGGCAGCCGCCTCTTTTGGAGAGACCACTACAGATCTCTAGCAAATAGTTTGTCACATCTAATGCCATGTTTGTTGCTTTGCCATCTTCATAAATGAGTGTCATATATTATCAGGTCTGAAAAATGGCATGTTGAAAGAAAAAATCATGGTATTTAAAAAAAACATGGCATGATGTAATTAGTGCCATAAAAAACAATTATAGGTAAAAAATCATGGCATTTGTAGAAAGAAAAACATGACAGTAGAAATAATATTATTGATGAATAACATTATTTGCCATTATTTTTCAAAAAATTACATGGCATTTATGAATAACATTAGAGTAAAAATGACAATTTGTCATTATTAGTGCCATAAAAATAACATTATTTGCCATTATTTTTCAAAAAATAACATGGCATTTATGAATAACATTAGAGTAAAAATGACAACTTATTATGGCATAAAACTGGTATAACTTGGCACTGTTCGAATAGAAATGATCTTATGACATTTTTATATTTAAAATGAATAGAAATAGCAATTTTTATGTATTAAAATAAATTACCAAAATTAGTTGAAAAAACATGGAATCGAACAGTTTCATATCTCCATAGAAGCTCTGAATTTTCGTTTCTCAGTGATGGATAGTGTACCCGGGGGGTAGCTTATCCGAGGGGTTATTACGGGGAGTAACAAGAGAGAAGCCAGAGCAAGTAAATGTAGAGAGAGAAAGTATATTATAAGTGTGGAGCGTTTTCAGCGTGGTTACAAATGGGGAAATGAGGTGCTATTTATAGTAGCAATAAATGCCGGACAGGGACACGCGTCAAGCGCCCATTGGCCGAGAGGTCACCTCAACTGGTTGGCGCTGGCAGCCGCATGTGGCCGCATTTAATGCGGCTGTTGGATGAGACATCTGTACAGGGTACGGTGATCTGTACGCATGTGATGCGGATATCATGTCGGGAGAGGTGCCCTCGGCTGCAGAGGACCAGCCGAGGGTTCTTAGTGCCGAGGGCTCCAGGTGCCGAGGGCTACTGTTTTCTGCCATTTTCCTCCCAGTTTCTTAGTTTGCTTGAAAAACCCGTTCTGTGAGAGTTTAGAGCCTTCGGCCAGGGGCCGAAGGCACCCCTGGTGCGCCTTGCGGGCTGCTTGGTACTCTGGGCGCTGTGATTTGGGCCTGTTGGGCCTTCTGGGCCTGTTGGGCCTTTACTGGAGTAGTAGGAGTCTGTGGGCCGGGTGTTCCCGGGCCATATACTCCATCAGGAGTCCCTCACTCCTTTTGCCGAAAGGTACTTGAGGGAAAAGGAGTAATTTGTGTTTGCCCCCTGCCGTTGTTCCGTTGTAATTTCTGAGGTTGGTTTGTTGCTTGCATGTCCCTTCCGAAGGCAGTCCCTCAGTTACCCACATGTCGGGACTTGAGGGCTTGCTTTGCCGTTTGTTGGAATTTTTCACCAATTTGGTAATTTAATGATTTTCCCGAGGGGTCCTCCAGTCCCCCACTCTTTGAGGCACTTGTAAAGTGGTGAAAAGGAGTAGAGTAGTTGCGTTGCTGTTGTGGGCCGAAGGCTGACGCTTTTCGTTTCATTTTGGGGGGATGCCTCGTTAAAAACCTCATTAGGGAAAACCCTGTGGGAAAAAATCCTAATGAGGGAAAAAGAGTGCACCGAATTCCCCCAACGATGAATCGAAAATGTGAAACCTTGGTCAAAAATGGAGAATAACAGTAATGCCGAAGGCTCTCCTTTTCCTGAGGGCTCATGTGTTGATTAGCCGAAGGCTTGCTGTTGATGTCCTGGGGGGTGCCGAAGGGGAGCCCCTCAATCTGGGGATCGAGGGCGCGATGGATGAGGGCAGTAGTTGAATTGTCACCGGGGGGTCCCCTGCTTGTTGATTAGTTGGTGATGGGGATATCCGGGGGCTCCCATTACCTGTGTGTCGTAGGCTATCCGGGGATGCCGAGGGGAAGTGTGTTATGTACTGTGTGGGGCACAAACCGGAAGCGTCTCTGGGTAAGTGTACCCGGAGGCTCTCCTTGATGAAGTGGAGTGAAGTAAGAAAATCCGGGGGCTCCCAGAATATAGCCGTTGGAAATATAGTCGTTGGAATATGTAACGTCAGGATATAGCCGTTGGGGGGGGGGTACACGTGGTGCGTGATGGTTGGGTGTCCGTGGGCGGCGTCACCGATTGGGCGATACCGCGGTCTGTAATGATGGCGATCCAACCGGAGGCCCGGTTTACAGGCCCAAGCCCGGATCCCAGCGCCTATAAATACCCCAAGGCCAGGCCACTCTCCGCTGTGCGATCTCAGTGTAGCGAAGCTCTGGCAAAATTTTTCTAGAGAGAGAAACTTGCCCTCGGTTGAATCCCGAGTTCTCAAGGTCAGTTCTCCATTCGCATCTCACCTCTTAGCTAGCTGTATTGTGCCCTTAGGCTAGGAGATAGAACATTTAGAAAAACCTTAGTTCTTCCGAGCCCTCGAGCTAGAGCCATAATGTCGTCCCAGAGTGATTCTCAAGACATCTCGGGGGTGCCCTCGATGGAGGATGAAGTCCTCTCGGATGTGGAGTCCTCAAGTGCACAGCCTTCGGCCCAGGAGGACGTTGCGATGTCAGTAGAAGTGCAGAAGGAGCTGCTAGCTGAAGTTGAAGCTGAGGGCTTCGAGCAGGAGGTGGAAGACGAAGAGTTGGCCCTCGCCATGCAGGTTGCAGAGGAGGAATCAAAGGAGAGGACGAGGGTGACAGTGGCCGTCCTTCCCCCTCGGGGTGCTGGTGAGGCCAGTACCTCTCAGCCGCTGAACGCAGTTCCCATCCGGGTGGCCCCCGGGAAGAAGAAGGCCAAGGTAGCTGTTCCCAAGAAGAAGGGCAGCGCCGCAGATCAAGGGAAGCCCCTCGATATGCCCGAGGGGTACTCCTACCTGAACACCGCCGCCCTGGAAATAAAGTCGAAGGTTGATGCGGCGGACATCTACGTCATCCAGCTTCACGTGGGCCCCTCGGCCATCGTGGTGACACCGGGTCCAGATGACGTCCTCTCCCGGGCTCCCGAGGGCTGTATAGCGGTGCACGTTCTCTCGGTCTCCATGGGGCTCCACTTCCCTCTGCACCCCTTCCTCCGGGAGTACCTTCGATTCGTGGGTCTGGTTCCCTGCCAGCTGATCCCGAACAGCCATTCTTATATTACTGGCTTCCTTCAGCTCTGCAAGTCCCGGGGGGTGACACCTAGCCTTGACCTCTTCTTCCAGAGCTTCAATTTGTGCCGGGGGGGGGGGGGGGGGGGCACGCGAATGCCGAGGGATTCGCCAACTTGCAGCAGGTGTCCATGTTCAAGCTCTTCACTGAGGCGCCCTCCTCGAACAAGGGATGGAAGGACCGGTGGTGCTACGTGAAGCTGACCGAGAGCCCCTTCCCGAGGGAGTTACGTGACCGTTTCAGGAGGCACGAGAAGAAGAGGAGCGCCGCCCTCGAGAAAGATGGCAGGATTGTGGCCATGATCCCGGAGGGCCGAGACAAGAATATCACCATTAAGGAGTGCACCAAGGAGGGAGATCTCTACACCCTCGGGTTCCGGCGGTACCGGTTCCTGGGGGAAACAGATGAGAAGTTCCCAGTGTTTGAGGGAGCCTCCGGAGGTAGTGGCTGAGGGCACTCTCGCAGTCTTAACCCATTTGATTTGTTTGTTTCCCTTTATGCCATCTGTTAGTGACCCATCGGTCTTAACCCCACATTGTTTTTTTTATTGCAGGTGTCCTAGTGAGTATGATGAACGTCAAAGGCCTTGCCCGTTTCAAGAACAAGCCGGCCAAGGATCCGAAGGGGTCGGACGCGGGCGGCCAAAAGCCCGTCGGTGCGCCTTTCAAGAAGCCCGAGGGCGATGCTGCTGCGGCGAAGAGGAAGCCGACGGCAAAGGAGCCCCCCAGGCCCCCAAGAAATCGAAGAATGGGGACGCCGCGAAGGATGACCCCCCGGTGGTGATTGTAGATGACTGTCCCGTCTCCGGGGTGCACGAGGAGATGCCGGTGGCGCAGGTGCCGAGGGGTGTTCGGGAGCCATCTCTTGAGGTCCTTACGCTCTCCCTCCCGGCTGGCACGGCCGTGTTGAATGGCACGGCTGACCCGAGGGCGCTCCTGAGAGGTATAACCCTCGATATTGATAGGGCAGCCCTCGGGGCCGATGATGACCAAGCCCTCGAAGACAGGATCCTCCGGTCTTCCCTCACGGTAAGTTTATGACAGTTTATCTTTCTCTTCTTTACTTTGAACTAAGAAATCACGTTCGGCCCTGCTAACTCCTTTATTCTTGCAGACTTGCGTTGCCCTCGGAGAGCAGTTCCTACGGCTGGAGGAATGGCGCCTCCACAAAGCTGGGCAAGACGCCAAGATGAAGGAGCTAATCCTCAAGGACTCCAAGGCCACGAAGCTGATGGCCCAGCTTGAAGAGGACCTCCAGCTTGCGAGAGCGGAGGCCGGAAGGCTCAGGGAGGAGAAGGCAAAAGCTGAGGAGGCTGCTGCGGAGGCCGCAAGGAGAGCCGCTGAGGAGGCCGAGGCCATCAGAGCGAAGGCTGTCGCCACAGCCCGGGAGGAGGCCATCTCCGGGTTCCTGGATGGGGGGTGGAAGGCCGAAGGACACAAGGAGTGGTTGTCCTCGATTGTGGAGGCCTTCGTCGATGAGTGGTGTGAGGGCCCGGGCGAGGAATGGATGGCCCGAAAGGGTAAACAATATTATGATGGGGGCGAGTTTTTCACTCAAGCCCTCATCTACCGGAGGATGGCCCGCCATTTGAAGATCGAGCCGAAGGACTTTGACCCGGCGGCATACGGGCTCCCCCCTGCAGCCAGACATCCGTGTTCCTCTCCCCTCCGATGTCGAGAGGCCAGACCTGGAGGATACTGAGCTCCGGAGGGAAGCCGAGGGTGACGAACCTGAGGCCGATGCAGAGGTCACTTCGAAGCCATCGGAGGAGGCGGCCCCCGGGAATGACGTTGTTTGATGTGTAATTTGTACTCAGCAGTTTGAACACTCTTTGTAATAGTCACATTTGTATGTTTTCGGCCTCGGCCACCATTGTAATAATTACATTTACTCTTTTTTGTGATGATTG